TAAATAAATTTTTTTATTTTTTTTTTTACATTTTTTTCATTGTTATCATGAGAATCTTAAAAGCTTGATTTATGTAGATGGAAAAGTCAACTGAGTTACAGATACAAAGTGGCTGTTCCAGATAAGAATAGTTAAAGTCTGCTTGTTCTGAAAAATTATAAGAGATAAATACTTACTGTTAATAACAGACAGATTGATATTAAAGTCTGATCCTTGTTTTCTGCAGGTATAAAGACCAGCATCCTCCACTGAGACCTTCTTTATAACCAGAGAACAGTCTGCTGTAACTCTCAGTCTGTCTGATTTAGCTGCTGCATCTTGGTGAATCTGTCCAGTTTCAAACAGTTTTACTGTTTGGTTCTTAGTAGTGAACAACCAGGTGATGGTTTCACAGTTATCCCTGATATAGAAATCACTTCTACAAGGCAAAGCAACTTCATCACCGACTCTGACCATCAAGCGCAGATCTGCATCAGTAGAAGCTTTTCAGATAAAAGAAGAGATTATTAGTTGAATCAATATTTTGCTGTTTATTTTTTCAAAAAGATATTTTTAGATGTGAGACCTTTTGAGTGAAAAAGGCTTGTTAAATTACAAAAATCCAAAAATCATGTTGTGTTTTTTTTTTGGTCAACACAAATTTTCAGTTTTAGCCAATAATATAACAGCTTAACATTTCTTTAAATCTTTATATCAGTCATGATCTTACCTGTAAAGTAAAGCATCAGAATCAGCACTAAAGATGTTTGTGTCTCTCTAGAAGGGATCATGGTTCCTCTGTTTCTCTTGCAGCTTCTTTAACAAATGAGTCGGTCTATAGAGGTAACAGATGAATATAGGAGCTGCTGTTTGTGGGTTGGAAGGTGTTACTTCTTCACCATGACTTCACTCTCTGTCTCACATCAGCTATTTATTATTTGCTCTTTCTACACACATCTATATCTGGCTTTTATATCTGTGTTCAGTGAGGTGTTGGTTCCATACAGCAGACAAAAGCTACCAGAAGCTGTTGCTCTGGTGGTTTCTTCTTCTTTCATTTCAACATTAAGCCTTTTGTGGAGAAGAAGTTTAATTAAACGAATTTAACACTTAGAGACCTTTTTCAGATAGTTTTGTTGACCTGCAGATTTAACCCTAACCCTAACCTACAATAGGGGCCAATACAATAGCCAGTCCCTAGCCTTGACACTTGCCCTAACCCTAATTTAAGCCCTTACTATCAACTTACCAGACCAATTAGCTACTGACCCTGATATTAGTGAAATCCATGCCTAACCCTAACACCTGACCCTAGCCTTAAAATTACACTTAGCCAGTCCCTAGCCTTGACACTTGCCCTAAACCTAATTTAAGCCCTTACTATCACCTTACCAGACCAATTAGCTACTGACCCTAATATTAGTGGAATCCATGCCTAACCCTAACACCTAACCCTTGCCTTAAAATTACACTTAGCCGGTCCCTAGCCTTGACACTTGCCTTACTCTAAAAGCTAACCCTAATTCTCCAAGTTTTACAAACTGGCTTGGCTGAGAGATACCAATGAACGTGCGTGGGCCCGTGCATTGCCTTTGATCCCCTAGCCAACTGCTCGGGTCGTCGGACTAAGTGGGGGGGGATCATCGAGAGAGTGTCTAACGCCTAACCTACAATAGGGGCCTGGTGAAGTTTTCGGACAGGAGGGAGCACTTAATTGCCTTTTTTGAAAAATTCTAGGGGCCAAACTAAAGGTCACAGTCTCCAGGGCCCGGGGCCCAAAAATAGGGCAAAGCCTCGTGACCCTTATGCCCGGGTCACAGAATTTTTAACGCCCACCCTGAGCCCGGGGTGGACCCCCAAACAGGGCAAAGTCTCACAAAAAACGACAGGTTAGGGTATCGAATCGGTAGATTCCCCGATTGACCACCAGAGGGCGCCTGGACACTTTGTATAACTCAGTATAGGACGATTGGCTGGGGACACCCCGCATTACTGCATATTAGACATTAGTGTGGATCTAACTATGGGACAGTCCGGTAGTTCTTTCCATTGAGACAATCGGGAGCACCAAGACATTAGACTTGTCCGAGGACCGAGAAACTATGGACAAGATGAGGCATTTGGCGAAGGGACAAGAGGAGGCATTTAGGGTTGAGACATGTCTTGGGATGAAAGAATGTGCCAACTCGGCGTACTTTTGAATGGGCCAAACGGTAACTTTGCCTTACCAGGGGCACGGCCACGCGGAGGCCCTAACTGATGGACACAGGACTATACCGAAGAACTGGACATGTCTTGGGATGAAAGAACATGCCAACCCAGCGCACTTTTGAATGGGCCAAATGAAAACTTTGCCTTACCAGGGGCACGGTCACCAAGAGGCACTAACTGATGGACACAGGAGTATTCTGAACAACTGGACATGTCCTAACCCTAACCCTAACCAATAGTGATCCCATATGTCCCACCACACCCCTCGTCAAACGCTCCGATAACGCAGTAAAAGTACTTAATACTCACATCTGGCCCTCTTGGGTCCCATTTGTCCCACCCCACCCCTCGCCAAACGCTCCGATAACAGCGTAAAAGAACTTTTTTTCTAAATTTTAAAAACTTAGCTGGTTCACAGTGACCCAACAGCAACAATGAATGGACATCTGGCCAAATTGAAGCACTGGGACAGCAGTCAGCATGTTAAAGCGCATATTTTTAAACTTTTAACCATTTTTTGGATTTTTTTCCAAGTTTTACCACCTTACCAGGGACAAGGCCACCCAGGGCAGCCCCTCACCCCAGGGACAGGTGTCAACATCAGGGGACAAGACTCAGCAGACCCGGTTCA